CCCAAATACTTTAACTAAATAGTCTTTTGTTTAATAGTCTGGAAACAAGATATTATAGTAGTCAGGGTTCTGCGTAACCTCATCTTAGAGGTTCCCCCAACAAGTCAGGGCAAGTCCGCAAAATGAGCCTCTTGTTCGAGACTTAACTCACAACGACGTCCTCCAAGACTCCGCCAAGTGTGCAAAACGAGCGTTTCATATAAGAGACTTCCTCCAAAAGTCAGCGTCAAAGTCTCCAAGCCGAGCGACGTCAGAGACAACACATTCTGCAGCCCTGCCAAGCAGTTTCGCAATCCCAGCCCCACAGCCGCTGACACGCGAATCCCAATGTCACAGCGACACTGACCTCCACCAAACATCGCAACCTCACGCTTCCTTGCGCCTGCCACGAAAATTCAACTTCCAGTGCGCACAAAGTAGCGTGCCTGCCACGAACAGTGACGACGTAGCTTGCACGACCACACGGTTGGAATGAATTCGACACGTTCTTGGCACACTCCCATCCACCAAGCTCGCCCTTTTGGGTGAGACCTGTCACGAAAGCACAGCTTCGAAGCAACAGTCTGAAACGCAAGTCCCAACGTCACAGCTACATCCAACACCCCAGAAGCACAGCCGTCTAAAGGCCAATCCCAATCTGACTGCGAAAGAATACTGACACAAAACGCTGCACCTGCGCAGTGAACTCATTCTCCACACTTCGACATATTACGTTTCCACACGCTTCCTCGCTATTTCACACGAATCTGACACGTCATGCTTCCAACCAAAACCCTCTCCAAAAGCTTCGCCCAATGTCAGCGCCATAGCGCCCTACTGCGAACGGTTGCAATCACATGGGGACGGTTGCAGACAGTTGCGGTCGCTGCGACAAAGTCGCGAACAGTCTACCCCCATGACCCCCAGAGTTGAACGAGAACCCTTCGCTACGCATTCGGGAACAATGTCGTTCCAACAAGCAATGCAACCACATGAACCAAGCATGTACAACATATATCTTGCCAAGATTACAGCCGCAAAAGCTTTACCGAAAGCAGCTCACATAAAGCGCGCACAAAAAGACATATCGTAACGTGTTCCACATTATAATTCACACTCAGGCGCGCGATCCCTGCAGGATCAACTTCAGGTGTTCATCGTAGCTGGGAGAATGTCAAAAACGTCGCAGCTTCATGAAGCTTAGCAGTGCGAACTGGATTGGCTGACTGGGCTGACGTGCGCGTGTGGTTCATCACATCGTTGCAGCTGCAGTTGCTTGCGGCCTTGGATGATTCGTTTAGCGTCAAAGTTCTGCTGAGCACACAACGGAATTAGCAACAGTGTGATACAGAATAGAAAGGGTTCATGCTGGGGTGTCCCTGCTATACGTTAATTGATTGGAGACAAACACCAATCATGGTAAAGTGGTGTGTTGCGATGCTTTTGAATGGAACCGATAAAAACCACCGGCAGTACCGCAACACGTTGAGGGTCGAACAGAGATCATGTTAACATATCAAAATATGATGAAAATTGATGAAATATGTTTGTCCAAACAATTATTACAGTATAGTAAGTCAATTTTAATGGCCCCCAATAATAACTCTTGAAGGCATGGAATATATACTTTGTTTATTTAAATATATACTATATTAGTACTTGTAATCTATTTGACCCCAACAACTCGGCAAACTCACACACTGTTACAGCTCGAAAACGGTGGCTGAAAAAAGTCGAAAACTCCCAGGATCCAGGTGCATCCAAGGATCATTGGCTGAGCTTGGATGTCCAAAAAGCAACCCCATCGGCTAACTGGAAACGCTCTTGCTGTCGTGTCCTTGGCAATGCAAAGTAGTGCTACATCAAACACAGCCTGAAGAATGGAACCAGCAGCCAATTATGAGGAAGTCAAGTCCAAGGAGCTTCAAGGAGCCATGTAGCATTGCGATCCTTAGCCACAAGTGAGCGCACCTATTGGTATCGACATCTGCATGAATTGCAACAATGCATGAGGAATCATGGAGGTTCAAGAATTGAGCACCCTGCATTCACATCTGCTGTGGAGGTTTCAACCAATGGTCTCAGGCTGCAGCCTTGGCTGGAAGGGTCGGTGTAAAAACAACTTTCCGACAAACCACTGGTTGAGTTTTGTCTTTTTCGTGGAGTCTGTGTGCAAAGAACCAAGTCGGATGAATTGCTGCATGGATACGCCGCAATAGGCATGCAGCCAAAAGATCCAACATGATGCTGCTGACAATCACGGCAGCCGTGCAAGTGATTGACGGTGCTTTCACCACTCCAGAGGGCACAGTTCGAGCCAAATGTCCCAAGATAAACACCAAAAGGCTGGTTGGAAAGATCTACTGCAATGAAAAGACCTGTGCCTCTTCGGGCCGAAAGCCCGGCCAGAAATGCCTGAAACTAGCTGCAAACGGCGCATCGAAGAATACAAAAGAGGTATGGTTGCATTCAATCATGCCATGTCATCGAATAATGGCTGCATGCGGATGACACATGTAGTCAGGGTAGTCAGGAGTTCAGTGCTCTTAATGTAGTCAACGTAAACAGGACGACTGGTAGATTCAACAAACAGTTCTGGAATTGTGCGAGTACTCTTCTCTCCCTCCAATCCTTGTTGGGGGACGATGACCTTCCATCCCATTCTCAACATCGTGTATCGACTGTTAGTGGGCAGGATATCGCAGAACCACTTCGATGACTTAAACAAACTGGACTTTGGATGCCAAGGGTCTGAGGCCGAACCAGCCACTCTGGAGGGAATAAGGCTCTTTGCTGTAGGCTAAAAGCCCTAAAAACTCAGAACAAGGAGCTTCGGCCTGGACCTAAAAGCTATACCAAGCACCACATCCTGACTGATGCCCCGTATCACATCTAAAGTGTACATACACCTGCCTGATGGCAAGGACATGACAAAAGCATCACAGCTGGCGATTTGTGTGCAATGTGTTTCTGTCGCCAATGTCGTCCTATTCTGGTGCAAACAAACATGTCTAGGGCTGGTTTCACTGCCAACCTTGCAGTTGGGAATATTGATGACTTCTATAGCCAAGGAAAACCCTGCAAAGCGTAGCATCCTCTGCAGTCATACTTTGTTTGCTTAGTCTAGGCAGTCTAGGCCACTAAGAGTTCCAGAACCAAGTACAGTATCAAGTCGCTTGTCAGCTTGTCGGGGAAATTTGTGTCCGCTGCCGGATTCATTCATGTCTTGGAGTGTCATGGAGAGCCCATTCCGCTACATGTCCACCTTATAAAACCAGAATCATGTATAAAGTCCCAAGTTCTTCATCAATAAGAACACAAGTCGTCATAAGCTCAGCTTGGATTTCATGTTTTTTTAATGTCTCTGAGACGAACGGCGGCGTGTTTCCACGAACCATCCACGTCTCAGAATCTGTTTCTTGAATCATCAAGGGTCTTGACCCCATGATCGGCAAGCCGCGACGTTCCGTAATCAACCCTGACCGGTTGAATATCCACAAACACCATTTTAAGTTGGTCTGTCCCAATCCTCACACTCTTTGGTCATGAGTGGAATGGTCTTTGTCCCAGGCCTCATACTGATTGTTTTTTATGGTCAGTATAGGTCAGTATATTTAACGAGTGATGTGTTTGTCCTCCATCTCGAGCGCTGGAACCATCGAGGAAATAATATGAACAAAAAAACCTTCAGGATCTCCGTTTTCCGCCCATTCCTACCCAGCCCACAAGTCTCCGTTTTCTGCGAGGTTTCTCGGTCTCTCTTTCTCCATCTATCTGCGCGAATGATCTCCATGGGTACCAGAACCACCTCGCGTTCAAATTTTAAATGTTGCTTGAAGCAGCTGTGCCAGCCAAACATGTGAGGAATCTCAGTGCTTCATTTCTGCGCACCCACCCTCCATAATTAGGCTCCCTTGCGGCCATCTACATACGACAACCAAGGGGGATGCGGGCTTCTCATGGTCTACGCAACGTCTTGCCGAACCAGGCTAGTCTCCCATTTTTCTGTTGCAAATACATCCCAAGACATGTAGGGATTCTCCTTTTGATGGTGGTCATCTTCTGGGCCCTGGAGCTGCACGCATTTTGGATCTTCAACCATTTGGACTGACCCTGCCCCTCCAAAATACCACCATTTTCACATCTTCGACTCGTCTCGTCTCTCCATACCGCTCCAGTCAGATCTCATGCGGTGAGGAAGGACTCCACGGAGTCTCCTCGTGGGCGAGCGACCATGGCGGAGCCCAGCCCATCGGGGATGAGGTTCCCATTGGACGACATCAAAGGTCCTCTTGAGAATGTATGTCTGTTCCCATGGAAAAAGAATACTTTCTCTCTCATACATTCTCGAGATATCGAAAAAGAGAATTCCTCTGGTTCGCCAAAATCAGAAGGCGAACCAGGATCGCGTTTTTGACGTAGCAGGAAGACTACATGCGCTACAATGTACACAAAGCACACAGCAAGGGTTTCAGGCATTGGACTACGGAATCCAGGACATTGGCTGTAGATTCTGGTGGAATTGAGGGATGAGATGGGATGAGTTCCATATCATGTATGATATGTGTGTGTGCTTCGTTTCTCCTACCTTTGGCCGATCCTGGCAACTATTCTGCATGTAGATTAACGTAATGGTTGTCCTCAGTAATGGGTGTCCATGCTTGGTCAAGTGTGATTCGCTTCAAGCGGATCATGGTTTTTCTCAGATGATCACAGGTCTCATGCCGTGTGTTCATGCCTGGATGGACGAAAAGGGCATTTTTGTTTGGACAACAACTTGGGTTGTCAGTCTGTCCTTTTGGCCTACAACTACGAGCCTGCGAGCCTACGACTGAAAGCCGGTCCTGCGGAAAACAAAACAAGCAGAAGAACTTTCACATCCTTGCATCTTTACTTCAAGTTGTTCCATGCTAGTCAGGGCAGCGCACTGGCGCCCTGGCGCCACTGCAGCGTCCCTCCGCCACTGCTGCCACATTCGTTGGGCGGCCCAACGAAGGAAGTTTGGATCTCCATCGCAGCGTCTACAGCTCCACCTGCGCTGCGGGCCGAACTTCTGGGCCGAACTCGCGAGTGGCGAGTCGAGCGCGTGGGGCCGCACGCACTTGGGGTGAGTGTGCGACTTCACAAGGAAACAAGCTTTTGGGTGAGTGTGTTTTGAAGACAGCGAACGAAAAAAAATGAACATATATGAACATGAATGAAACAACTTGGTAGTACACTTGCTTGTCTTCTGCAAGTAGTGCAAGCCTTGCTGGACAGCCAGCAAAAATAGATAAATCTCGGCATCTCTTAAAATAGGAGACCCTCAACCTTTTAGTGGGAGGGAAAACGGCACCAAAATGCAGTGGTCTCAGGGTCTCCCTATCATCCTACGCAGTCAAATGAACATGGAAATGCAACTCGACTACTCCACTCCTGCCTTTCCAGGCGGCATGCTGGTGGATGCATCGTCATGCTCCTCAAGATGAGCTGGTTCGGTTCGCCATGTACCCTGGGCACGCTCTACATTTGAAATCATTTGAATGTCTATCATCGTCTGGGTCGAAGTCATTGAAAAGAAAGCCCAAAATCATCCTTCTTGAAGATTCTCAAAAAAATGCAAGGGGCCAGGGAGGGTGGAGTAGCTTTAGAAATCTGGTCAACTTCCCTGGGAACCCAATGTTGCAACATATTATGTACTATATTTTGCAACAATATTGCAAGTATCCTTGTGATTGAGAGGGTAGATGTATGTGGATGTATATACACGGGTGTTGCCCTGCAACAATCATGGCTATGTGGACGGCATGGCCCCTGGAAAGATCCTTGTCCTCTACAAGCAGGGGGGCCATAGTCCACTAAGGTCTTAAGGTCCTGTCGGTGTACTGCTCCATGCGATTCGCGCTCCTCCTGCAGGCTTTGCACCTCATTGTGATACCTGCAAAACCGCAAAGGAGCTGCGCATGCGCATGCGTGTGCTCGACTGGTGTCAGCCAGCTCCCGCAGCAAACAAAACACGTACAGCTCGAGGTGGACACCGCTGATCCATCATGATCCATCCATCCGGGAACCCATTGGTTGTGGGCTTTGGTGCGGGTACTGCCTATGACCTGCCTGACCTCTCCATCTTGATCGTTTCAAAAGGCCGGATGCCCCGGTCACGTCGTTTGGTACCCACCGGTGACTACTCGGCGACTACTCGGGGCCGCACGTCTGCCACTCCGAGATGATGCGCTTGGCCATGACGATTTTCGGCTCCTGGGCTGTGGCGCACGGGTTGCGGGCAGCAAACCACATATCACGGATCATCTCCCAGACTGAGTTAGTTATCACTGTTACACTCAGCATCACTATGCATCACTTCTATATCTAGGAATAGTTGAAAGCGATGTCACCTCAAGAGAAGAAGAAGAAGGAGGAGAAGAAGAAAAGGAAGAAGGACCTTCTGAAGGAACTCTATATAATAAGAAGAAACTCGGCTTCTTCAAGAATTACATGTATTGTATTGCATTTTGGAATCGAGAAAAGGGAACTCTTCACACCTGCGACACCACCTGCTGACCAGTGCCAGCTGACCAGTGCCATCCGGCGCATAAAACCGATGCCCAAACACACCCGTCCTTGGTCAAAGGATTTTGACAAAGATCAATGGTCTTTGCTAACTTCTTGCTCTCCTCGGCGGATGTCTTCACTGTTCTTCACATGGTTGAACTGGGTTTCATCCGATGATTGCGTGTTGACGCGCGACACGTGCGAGGAAGGAGATCAGGGAGGTAGACACATCTATGACAGGACCCGTGAGTTGAAAGAACAAGGAGAACAACCCAAAGGGGTGGGGTGGATGGAATGGATGACAGATTCAACCTCTCCACTCATGTTTTTTGGCCGAAAAAAGGACGAAAACAACCACATGTACATCACCATTACCATCCTGCAAGAACTCACCCACCAAAGACGTGTGTTGGTTTACAAAAGTGAGAGATGCAGGTTTTATATGTCATATATCGGCATATATTGGCATCATTGTCTTTTGGGACATGGGACATGGCACATCTGTACATCAACTGGATATGCAATGCTGCCCGTTTTAATTCATCGATATCTTATCTCTTGTCACTTCAACGGCCAGCCGTTGGATGATGGTTTTCAACAACTACCCTCCCTGCAACAATCATGGAAGTGGACCAAGGCCCCTGAAAAGACAATTGTCCTCTACAAACAAAGGGAGAGTGTCCATTTCCGTGCTTGTTGCAGGGAGTGTAGCACAACACGTTTCCTTAGGGGGATTTGAGCAAACATTCCATCATACAGCTTTCTCTTCAGCCTCCGACAGGCAGGTTTCGCCGGCACCAAACTCGGCCCTAGCAGGTCCTGAGAGCACCAGGTTTCGCACCACAGCCATTCGGTGGGCCTGGGCGACCAGAAGACCTTCCAAACCTTCTAGGGACTGGGACTAGGTGCTTGAATTCCACCCCCAACTTGCAACCCTGCTCGACATGTTGGAAGGGATGTTTCCCAATCTGCTCCGATCGATGAATTTCAAGGAATTCCCCTCAGCGACACCTGGCAGAACATTCACTCGGCTCAACTCAAGGTCGCTGAAATAAAAAGAGATCGCCGCACAGGCACATGCAACCCGAAAAGACCGTGGTTAGTGCCCTCTGCCTTTACTGTTGATCGTGTTGATTGAAGCTCCCATTCCAGAATTTGATCGACGACGTAGCCTCAAAAAAAGTGCTCTGTGCAAACTCCTCCAGCACCTCTGGGCGCCCCTCACAGGGTGAAGATCGGCACCTGGTGCTGTGCAAAGTTGGGCAGGTCCTGTCCGTTCCATGTGGTGAAAGCTCCCAGCTGCTGGCCAGGGCGGGACAACGACACGGTCGTGCTGGTCGGAACGAGCTCGGAGCCGGTTGAGCGATCGGATCGGGAGTTCAGAATATCCGTAGACAAAGGAACGTGAAGTGATATTGGAGGCTGCCTCCGGCCTCCATATGCCTCCAATGGAACTGATCTATTGATTATCCTGTGAATGGAGGACCTTGGAGGCCAATGTCAGTTTGAGACATCTTTTTGAGCAGCTAGCGTTGAGCGCTGCTGTGCGTCGCTTTGATTCAACCCTTCAACAGGTCGAGAGGACTTTGGCACCCATCTGCCCTCATCTCCGATGAGTCATCCACCCATCCGATGAACCCTGCCAACAACTCACCCCGACCATCGACTTCTCCTGGTCCAAGTTCGCCAAGGAGTTGGGGTCTCTGCTCAACTGGCGCCGAGATCAGGGAACATAGCAGCCCAGTCAATGGCTCCGCTCGAGCGAGTCAGAGATCTCGACAGCTAGACCATTGGATGTGGAACAAGTGGCGAGATCTCAAGAGCCAAATCAAATTCAGGTTACCCTCTGAACAAGTACTTGCAAACATCCAGACCCAGTCTCAAGAGCCGGACAAAGTGTATCCCCTATAGGGCGGCCCTATAGAAGTCCAGTCTGACCCAGTAAAACCTGCTCTTTTAGCTCCTTAAGTAGTGTTTTTTGTATGACCAAGTCAAGTAAAATGAGATCATTGACCTGTAGGGTATTTATATGTTCTCTGTTAGTTGCCACTTTACACTTGACCTCTGCTTAACCTTCTTCTTGGGGCTGGCTTTTGTTTTTCTTTTGTCCCACCCCTTTTGGATCCTTTAAGGGAGGAAGCACGTTCCACTCCGAAAACACTTCCAGTGAACCTCCCACCGCTCCCGCTCCCCACGCGCACACACCAGCATCGCATGTCGCACCTGGTTGTAGACGCCCCTCAAGGTCTCTCCCGTTGAAGTCCGCCGGAACTGCACACCGGTCGCACACCGGACGTGGACGGTCGCGCGCCGCGTGGAAGGAGACCCGAGCCGAGAAGCATCGCGAAGCGCCCAGTGAAGCTGTATGAAGCTGTAGGGATTGCTACTTGTAGAACGAGTGATGTGAATGGCGGCCAATTCACCCTTACAGAACACCTACCAAATCAACCTCTGGGCGTCCAATGTCGAAGCATTCTTTTTGGGCATTCCCTTTTGAATTTTGTGACAATGAAGGCCCTGAAGGCCAGGATGCATCCTTGAAAAGCATATTGCTTCAACTCCAGTGTCTATTTTCCTACCTAAAGATCATAAAATTGATTCGTGAAACAAAATTCCACAAAGCCCTGGACAGTTATTCTAAAAACCTTCATATCAGGAGTCACACAAGACGGGGTGCCGGTGCCAGCCGGTGCCCCGTCGTCACATCGCATCCCACGGGCGAGCCAAACGGATGAGCATGGGACGAGGCAAACCACCCAGGCCCGAACAGATGTGACTCCTGGTCTTCTCCTCTTCCTCTGAAGGAGTCACATCGCCTCCAACAGGTCCACGACAAAAAGCGCCGAGATGTGATACCTTGGGTCTCTCTCTCTCTCTCAATTGCCACGCCGGAGCTTGGATGGGTGCGAGGATGGGTCATTCGGATGCAGCTTGGAGCTTACAAAACAAACTCATGTCATGATGAGGATGCCGTTCGGAAGTTGTACAAACACATTTCTAGAGTTCTATAGAGTCTAAAGTCTAAAGAATTGGTTTTGGAATGTTTTGGAGATTCAATTACATCCGGCAGAAGGGTTCTGAACCCCATTCCTTGGCTGAAATGGACCCTCAAGCTACCAAGCTGGGTTGTCTCCAAATACTGGGCTTCCCTGGCGGAAGGCCCTGCAAGTGGCTCTTCCAATAGCCTTGCTTCCAAAACCGGAAGCCCTGGCGAGCGGTGACACATTTTCAATGAGGGGAGACCCATAATATGGGTTCAGGGGCCTTGATCCAAAAACGAGGATGAGATGGAGTGCAAAACATCCGCTTCCAGCATCTGGGTGCACCTCAAAACAGGAGCCCAAGAAACTCCTCGTACCAGCCAACTGGCAAGTTCCTCAAATATTGTGAACGACATGTTCAGCTACATGTTGCAACCAGGCTGCATCAGCTTTAGATAATGATAATGGGGAGGATGATACGTTGATGCTGGATCTGGGCAACAAAAAGTAAAACATAAGAGACCACAGATTTGGGTCCTAGTCCTTGTCCTTTTGCAGCCCACAATAAATCATTCAAAGACACTGGAAGAGCCCTTTCTGAGCTCGACATCGATCACTTGACGACCCTGTCCTTTGAAATATCTCACCCACATATACCTTGCTCACCAATCCAGGTGCCGACACCTCCTTCCCGGATGCGGAGCCCGTCCGTCGAATCCGTCGAAGCACCTCGGTGTCGGGGTTGGAATCGCCCATGGGGACAAAGCCATAGACCTTCCCCTGAGGTGCTGGGAGCTGAGCGGCAGCGCGCAGCGAAGCAGCGACGGGCTTCCGCGCGTCCGCGGAAGCGCGCTTCCGCGTCTTGCGGCGGAAGGAGCGACGTTCGTCTTCGGCGGCCGGGACATCCGAAAGCGAGGGTGGTGAAAGCGGGGTGGTTGCCGGTTTTAGAGAAGGGGGTTTGCGGGGAGTTGGCGGAACAGCCAGACAATCAGACAATCAGCTTGGCGTCTCAGCCACAAAACACAGACGTGTGGAGCGGGGGCAAGGCAGAGATTTCAGTGTGTGGCTTCAAGTCGTCAAAAAGAAGCAACTCCGAAAAGTTGTGAAATATCTATATAAGCTTCATACCATTGACCGGAAAACGTTTGACTCTTCTGAAGAAGGGCGGGTGCTGTGTGCTCTGTGCTCAGCAGGCCAACAGCGCTGGTCCAAATGCCAAACACTCCTTGACATGGAACGCTGGCATACATCTGGATGGTTTTGGTGCAAATAGGAATTGAACCTACATGGAGCATGTGGTTCTTCTTTTTTGCATGATTGCTCCTGCTGAGGTTCGGCAAGCCAGCCTGGTGATGTTGAAGTAAAATGCGTGTTGCTTGTTTGTTTACAGTATATGTTATATTTGTCCTATATTTTTCTTTTCTGGCGTTGTCATGTTTCAAGCTATCAATGTATGTTCATGTATGCTCGTCACTCCCGGATCAGTGTTTGGGCCACAATCAACTGTTCATAGATATCGCCCTCAAGAATCATACTAAGAACCCATGAATTCCAAGAGAACAGATGAATTCCAAGCAACATGGGCATCATTGGGCATCCAAGCAACAACAACCTGACATCTGGACCCGACCATGGAGCTGGTCCGGGGGAAAACGTGCGAACAAGCGGCCCGCCCGGTCGGAGCGACACCGAAACGAGTCGACGTTCTCTGGAAAGACCAAAAGAAACACAAATGATGGAAATCACGTAATTACATGAGAGTTCAATGGACATCACGCGCCTCAGCCCTAGCCAATACAATTGCTACAGCAAGCAAGTTAACAGAACGCCGCCTTGAGATCCAGTTCCCAGAGCTCTTTCACATCTGCCCGGACGACCTCCAGGATGAGTCCCGCACATGGCAGGAAGAAGGCGCCCGAACGCTTCGAGACACGTGCGGTGGTTGGATGGATGAGAACCAGTTCAAAGCTATACAGTAAAATGATCAAAGCTTCAGTTGATATGTCTAGTCCCATCCCAAAAGCTTCAAGGGCACTGACATACATGTCATGTATGTCATTCAATGCTTATTGTCATATCAGTATATGTCATCTACTTGACTCAGGATCAAGTGAGTAGGAGCCTATGTTCTTCTATGACGGAGGATCCCCCCCGGAATCGATGCTGCCTGAAATCACACCCGGGAGGGCTCCCTGAATACTCCCTGGAGATCCCTGCAGGGCTCCCTGGATACTCCCTGGAGGGGCTCACTGAAGGGCTCTAGTGTTTTCAGAGAAAAGAGAACAGTCACATATTGCCCGCCTGATCAGCATCTATGAAAATGATCTTCGGCACATCCTGCGGAAAAAGCACCTCAAGTCTCGGCCACTCAACTCACTGAAGGGATGGCTCGTGGCAAATCATGGGATTGGTTCCAAGGTATGAGTGGAAACAAGTCAGGTTGAAAACAAATCATGCCGTGCCATCTGCGTTCTGCCTCTGGCATGACAAGTTTGGGTCTTCCAACCATGTCCAACCAATTGACTTGCACAAGAATCCTATAATTTGTAGTCGAGCATGGCCGATAGGCTATTAGACTTGGCAAATGTGTTGCAATAAGTCTCTCTGCCATGCATGCCTTTGTCTTCTGACAGCCTCAAGCTCTTGAGAAACCAGAGTTACTACCTGAGTTGCTGGAGGACACTCGATCTACAATAAATGTTTTATCTTCCACAGGTCACCACCTGCAACACTGACGTACCACTGGGAGGTCCTGGTATGTTGCAATTCTCAATTTTAAGGAGTTCAAAAGAGACTCAGGAGAGACTCACTTTGCGACCACCGAGCACAGCGCATCTAAGAAAAGGATCTTGTATGCCCAAATCAAGCGCTGCTTTTCGCCTGAGGCGGCCAAAGCTGGCGCACCCCATGGGGCCACGGGTTGCGAAGCATCTCGCCATTCGGACGCTGATGGTTTGGCCAACCAAATACTTGCAGCCAAATACTGAGAGAGTCTCCACCTATTCCCCACATGGAGGAACATAACTTCCAAAGCCTGAGCAAGTAGTGCCACTAAGGGAAGTTGTATTGTAGCTAGGTTGCTGGCGTTATGATTGTGGGTCTCCGTATAACAGATTTCGTATCAATCGGGCCAGCCCTAACCCAGCAAAACAACAGGTGTGAAACGGTGCGAAGACTCCCTTCCGTGGATTGGAAGCCGATCCGCCCACTTCGCTCCAGACTTTGTGGGTTTAGCCATGATGGCCATTTGTAGGTCACGAAGTCGTACTTGAAGTCGTACCTGCGACTCTGGAAGTTTTGCCCTTTGAGCATCCACATCAGCATCCACATCAGCTTCTGAAGATACAGCCCAGCAAAATTTTTGTTCTTCGGAAGCCCTCTTCTTCTTGGCCCAAGGGTAAACCATGTCAATAGCCCCATAGCCCAACTGTGTCAAACTCAATAGCTTTGCCCTTGACTGACTCTGCCTTGCGGCCAGCCAGGGAATAAAGGCCTCACGGATGAAACGGTTGCAGCTGAGAGGCAAAAAGATCAAAAAGGCAGCACAGCTGCGTGGAGCAAGCACAAAAAACAACATCTCGAAACATGGTTTTGAGGAGATTGGGACTTGAAGAACATGGATACTGCTTTATATAGAATCCACCCAACCTCGAAATTCTATACACCGCTTGACAACTTGAAATCAAATTGAACATCGCACAAAAGCGGCTAGAGCCTAGAGCTACACTTACGTACCTGGAAGAGGAATCTTTGTTGTCGGCGACGACATATCCGTTGCTTTGATGGCCCTCTGACACATTTCTGTACATTCAATCCAAAGCCCCTGCTTCTGGATCCCACATGAATGAACAGGTCCTAACTTCAGTATTTTACAATCGCCCGAGTAACAAAAATCTAGACGTGACCTGCAGCTTTCAACTCCGCTGAAAAACCTGTCTCCTCTCATTGCCTTGAACTTGGGCGAGAGGAAGTTGTCGATGAACCAAAAGTGAAGAGGATTCTGAGTATTGTTCCTCACCTCAGCCACCGCGGGACATGTCGGACGAGTCCAAGCTTGTTCTTGGATGAAGACGAAACACGTCTAAACAAACCATTTGATGTTCAGGGAGTTCTGAAGGAGACCTGGAAGGATGTTGGAGCAAGCAAACCTGCGCCTCATGTCACAGCACGCTCTTGGATCTTGCTGTAGGAGGGATCCCTGCTCAGCCAGTGCTTCAAGTGAGCCAAGGCCTACATATAAACACTTGAATCTGGGGTCATATGGAGCATGTCTAAAGGGAGCAGCCCCAAACCAATATGATTTTGGTGTAGGGGAGGGGAGAGCTCTTAAAGAAACAAACACACACACAAAGCAGTCCCAAACAACAGAATATAATTGTGTTGTTCATTTACCTTGGTGCCATAGCTTTTTCTCTCTGCTTGTAGGCATGTAGAAACCGACCCCCCCCACACCACCAAACCAAAGAACGCCTTCCCCTCCAGTGACTCCCTTCCGATGTCTTCCTCCTTGAAAGGCGGTTTCGATCACTCAGCAGCCACACTGAGAGGATCATGATGCCCAAGAGTTTCTCGTAGAGATGCCCCGAGGCCACCTGGAGTCCGGAACGAGGCGTCGACGGCGAAGACAGAGGCGTCGACGGCTTGACGGGGACGACCGTTGTTCTTCGACGGAGATCTGGGGACCGATCTGGATGAGTTGACTACTTACTGCTTGCTTTGGTTTTGATGACGAACGGTTCGCTTCTTGTTATATATATATATATAACTTATATATGACATATAACGTAAGCTACCGCGTGATTCTGAGACTACCTGAAAGCTATTAAGTGGCCACAAAGGCTTCGAATGATCTCTAAAGTCTTCTTGAATGAACCAAGCAGTTGACAGGTAGTACTGCAGCAGCACAACCCGTTGCTTCTTAGATAATAAGATGGCATTCGCGAAACAAACAACAAAACAACTCATGGTTTCCTTTGCTTGAACCTTCCAATTAGCTTTGTTATTTCTTGTTGGTGATTACACAATCCCCGCAGGATCCTACAGGTCCGCTTCAAAAAATGCCAGCCGGTGACCTGTTGGAGATACAATGATTTCAGAGGTTCGATGGCACGGGGCCCCCCAAGATGACCTTGAGATCTGGAGTCCATATAAAGCACCAGTACTAAGTACTATCCACTGTAACTGGAAGGTACGATCTATATACTTCCACTTTCTTATGCACTCACCGCAAAGTCCAAAGAAGGCCACTGGCCATCCCAACGGACCATCGTCTGGTGGGCAGTTGGACGCACCACTGAGACGCCCAGCACTGAAAATGTGGACGGTCTCCCTCAGCTGGGAGCTGCGGCGGGTCCAGCGGTTCAGCGTTCCCAGGGGGGTGAACCCCATTCCCCTTACAAGAGATTGCGAACATCTGGGAATGCGCACACCTCAAGAGGAAGAGATGTGGATCTTACACATCAAATCTATTCAATTGCGCACACCTCCAGTCACCCAAGAGAATTATTTTTGGGTTTGACCATACAGAGTCGAGAAACCCAAAGATGGCCAAAAGAGGATGTTTTGGTTTACACCACGGGGGAGTTTGTGTTATTTTGTCCCAAGTGATTGCACGGTTGAAGCATCTTTAAACAAATGTGAGTAACTTGAGAAACAATTTCCTGTCACCCGTTATGAACCACTAAACGAAAACCGCCCGAAACCATCACCTTAACAAACTATAGGTTCGTGGGTGGGTCAGTAGGCCGAGTCCTCAAGGTCATTCCTCATCCAGATCTATTGAAAAAGGCGAGTCGGGTTTGTAAGGCTAAGAGGCTAAACAGAGTGTTGAAGTCTTGAGCCCATATATCCAATGGAACAACAAGTGAAACAAAACTGATGATGCAAACCTCATCACGATGGGCCATCGGATACGCTCAAAAACGGTCTTCGCAGCTACAACAAGCTCTGGGAGCCTCAAATGAAAAAATAACTTAGACATACCTATCACATACACTCCGACAAACACATCACACGGAAGTGGAAACCACTCGTCTATTCATAAAGGAACATATAGTCATCCAAGGGTCCATGTTGGTCCATGTTCCACTTCTATGTGAGTGAGTCAGGGTATCAATGAGTTTTACCGACTTGAACGCCACCCCAAGTGGCAAACCAGCCCAACGCCCCAACCAATGGTCCATTGACTCGCACGGTTTGCCGCAGAAAGACCTTCCTGAACACACCACCCTCTATTTGGACAGGAATCGCTTCAACCAGGAGTCACAAGACGGGGTGGGTTTTAGTCCCATCCAGTGAGTGGATGTTCTGGGAACCCCTATCCTCCAAGTTCGGCACCCCGTCTTGTGACTGCTGGAAGATAGATCTATCTATATACATGAAATAACTCTGTTATTGTGTTTGAACCTTCCTTTGGAGGTGTTTTTGTTCATGCATAGTAATAGTCGCATAGTCTTCCGTGCCTTCGGTGGGGCTTGCAGCCCGATAGAGCTGGCTGAATCCCTCACGAAATAACCAACCCAGAACAAACAGAACACACAAAACTCCTTGCTTCAACAGCTGCAGGCATCGCAAACTATGCAAGTAGCAAGACTCAACAGCACAGCTGCAAAATACAAATTCTCCATCGCATCACTAAGCCCGAGAAGCTCTCCATCGGCAGCCTCCCAGTGCAGCTGCCACAGTTTCACTGATGGGTTGGGGTAGGGGAGATGTCAGGCAGCGCACTTCTTTAAGTTTTGAACTAAGCCCCTGTGAGATTCATATATTTCAAATAAACTTGTCTTGCCGCTCAGTCAACTGGTTGAACTGTTTTTTGCACAAAAGGCTGTCGTTATCCCCATCGAGTAAATACCTGAATATGCTATAGAGGTTATATATATATACACATATATGTTTGTATAATACACACACTTACTTTGGAAGAACAAAATGCCTCGGCAAAAATGAGACGGTGACTCTGCAACAAGTCTTGATGCACTGTTCCAGCCATAAATTTGCTATAGAAAACAAACCTGCAAAGTTCTTAAAACATCCTGGACAACTCTTCCTTTCATCCTGGTCAAACATTTGAACCCCTTTTCAGCTCTCCTGAAGCCAATACAGTACTGGCAGTCAGCCAGGTCGCTTCGGAGCCGCTCCAGCGTCTGACTGTCCCCACTTCACAGCGCCTTCTTCACCACCGAAGCTTGATCCGCCTGAAACCGTCGTGGACCCGTGGTGCCGTCGGCCGAAGTCTGTGCGAGTCTGGCGACCGACGACCGTTCTTTCCGGTCTTGACCGCGAAGGGGCTGAACAGTTGAGCATTCTGAAGAAACATCTTGTTATCTCTTAGGTTGCTCTTTTGCTCTTGAGCGGATTTCGAAAACACGTTCACTTTCTCTATGTTTCTCTTGTTGATATGTTGATAGGGGCACGAAGTTGTGGCACCCTCCGGTCGCTCGCCCTTCCAGGAAAGTCTCTGATCCCCCAGTCCGGCGTCAACTGCCCGGCTGGTCCAAAAAACTGAGAGGAAGTCATTGCACCTCTTCATTTGGCTCCTACCTCTGCAATAAGAAAAGTGGAAACCCATGAGCCTGAGAGCTTCCAAGCAATGACCTGGGCCCGACCGGGCTGTGCCACCCGCATTAAACCCCAATCATTCGCCTCTCCAAACAAATCGGAGGATGGGACGGCCGTTTTGGCTCCATCCGGTTCAGTGGATATTTTGTAGGGAACTTAAGCTATCCATAGTGATCCACTGCAACATCCATAAAACACATCCTTCGAAAAGGCTGGAAGCGGAGGATCTGTTCCTGGACTGATCGAAATCCCTTTGATCGCGTCTTTAAGTCCTGGGAGTGGTATCCTGGACCCTCGGATGGCAGTGGATGATGATGGGCAATTGCAGGAGGCCGAGCTTTAAAATAGCAATAACCCAAATGCGACCCTGGACCCTCAATAGGGGACTGAGGGTCTGGTGTCTCAAATCCCGGTTTCGATGGACCAACTCTGGAATATGGAGGGGTCGGACCCTCATATGGAGGGGTGTGGCGTCTCAAATCCCTAGGTTTTGAGGGACTATAAGGGCTGTTTGGAGCGTCTGGGAAGTACTAAATCAGTCCATCTGCAAACGATGATCTGCACCTTCCAAACATCTTTTGCACACGAGACCATTCCCCCTCTCCTCAAATCCATTCTGGCATTCTGCAAAAAAAAGAACCGTCTTCAGATTTATGGTGCGACCCCTTTGGGTTTCTTGTACATCTTATTTCACAGCTTTTCGCTCGGGAATCTATCCTTCAACGTGCCGATGACCTGCCGGTCTGATGGATCCATGGATCTCTCAGCCTCCCGACTGCAAGGCACTCATGATCCTGGACCTGAAACAGTACATCTTTGACTGGAGGATGTACTAGACTGATTCACAAGATAGACTTTGCATGGACTTTGCATCACCTGCCATGGGTGCGAGACTCCCAAGAATCTCTAATTGACTCTACTTGGGACAAAAACAAATCTCAATTTTGTGAAAGAAAACCCCACATCGACCTATATAGCCAAATTTATGCTGCTTCATCTGAGGTCCCGGACCCCCGTGCCCGGCGCCGTGCTTTAGTGCCCTGCAGGTGAAGAGGTTTTGATGAAAAGGGAAAGTCTCGAGGACACTCAAAGGTCCACTGTGTAAATGTATGCATTTCAGCTGCATCTATACTCTCACCCATTGAATCATATTAAAATCTATGTGTCCTTTCGACCATGCATCCTTGTTCCTATGTCTTTGCTTATATTTGTCCCAACTGCTCCACACGGGCGACTGGCGCCGCTCCCTTCGACTCGGACGCCATAACCCGGCCACCGCTCCTCCTCCGCGAAGAGGGCGTCGTGGCTCTTGCCGGGGCGCATCTTCACGCGCAGCTGGTGAGGCGGTGTGATGTAGGAGGAGACCTCCAAAGGTCTGACGGTCCCTTTCCCGCAGATCCATTGAAGAAGACGACCACTGCAGATTCACGAGATCGTGGTGACATGAAATGACATGAAATTGCTATGTATGTTATACGCCTATAATATCCTATAATATAAGCCTATAAGGTAGGGCAACAACAACGAGTTCATTTTGTATAGTTCACATGGAGGCAAAAAAGTCGAAACATCTTGATATCAACCTCTGGATCTATTTCAATACAGGATATACACCTACAAAAACCATGTTCTTGCATGAGATCTGCAGGTCAACCACTGTATACACCTGCAAATCACACCCATCGGTGAGTCGTCCACGTTCCCCGAACTGGCGGCCACTTCCGTTTTGGCTCTTCCACTCAGCTCATCCAGCACGTCACTCAGCGCCAGCAGATTCTCCACGGAGAGCTGAGACGTGCGCATCGCTGGGTCCACGCCCGCAGGGCCAAAGGCCACGCGCCAGCGAGGCCTTGCTGGCGAAGTGCTCGTCGTTGGTCCGTTTGAAAAGACACACACACACATATCGGAATAATGGATAAATATTGATAATATATGGATATATATACCTTGAGTCTCCAAAGACCTTTTTTTTCTGCGTTTTTGTTTTTGGTCTAATATTTTTGCGTTTTTGCTCGAAAAACGCGTTTTTAGAGATGAGGACTCAAAAAAAGGTGCAGAGTGAATCTTCATCCGGACGCGTCCGGCACGGACGCTTAAAGATGCCTTTTGGACGCAAAAAGACGCGTTTTGGACGCCGAAAAAAGGTCTCAGGGCACTGTCTAAGGAGGATCTGCCAGGGCACAAACAAAAAAGGAACATTTCGTGACATATGCAAAAAAGAGTGCTTTCTTTCAAAAACCTCTTTTTCTTGGAAAGGCAAATTTAAAAGGGTCATTGGAGACTCAAGGTATAATGTCAACCTCTGATTAATAACCCCCCCCCCCCACATGGTAGGTCAACAAGGTCAAGAAGGTATGAGATACCACTCATGAGGTCCACCTCCCCTGAATAATGTGCTATGAGACCATAGGACCATGAAGGATGATACCAGAGTCCATATAGGAAGCAATGAGCTCATGGTCATAGGAAGCAAGGGATGAGAGGAATTGGCTGGTAACATTTGGGCTCAGAATGGGTATCAGCTGGTGAGCAGGTGAGGTAGTCTCATAAGCCACCATGCTTCTGCACAATGCCTTCTGGGCATTGGCTGATGAGGATGAGGCACCTTGGCTTGAAGTGGGAAGGGATGGAAAGGGATGGGATGGGGTGAGAGAAGGACCAGGGATGGGATGGGGTGAGAGTGGATGAAAGGGATGGAGTTGGATAGGTTTGAGAAGGACCAGGG